GCAGCCTCAACCTGCTGGGCTCCGGCGATCCTTCCGCCTCAGCCTTCCAAGTAGGTGGAATTACAGGCATGCGCTACCACGCCCAGCTGAAGAGTCTGAGGTTTTAAACAGGGGTGTGAGGTGAGGAGACAACAGCCAAGAGGAAGTCAGAAGTCTGTGGGGGAGGATGATGGGTTCAGTTAGAGGTCAGGTGCAGGCTTGGGGACCCTGGCTGCAGACAGGAAAGCCAGGGGCACAGGCTCCGATCCGAGTCCTCAGTGGTGGCTGGTGCTGTGTACTGAGGACAAGGCTTAGGGAGGCACAGGCAGAGAAATGGAAGGACTATCCTCGAGCAGATCCAGTCCCTGGGGTGGGGGAGAGGAGGTACCAGGTAGGAGCCAAGGGTAATCCACAGGTGTGGCAGGGAGCCCTAGGAGGGTTGTTAGGGTCGGTGACATGGGAGAGGGACAGGCAGATTTGCACAACTAGGAAGTGGGCAGAGATGAGGTAATGGGGCAATACTTTAGGAGGGAAGAAAACTGAGCGTGTTTGGGAGGCAGAAGGGAAGGAGCTAGGCAGAGGACCAAGGAGTGGGTGGGGAATGCTCCTTAGGTAGAGGGAGACCCAGAGGAGCCATACAAAAAGACTGGGGTGGGGCGGAGCGACGAGCACACTCAAGTGTGGAAACCTTGGCCAAGGTCATCTGCACAGAGCAGGCAGGGCAGGTCTGAAGCACCACTATGAAGAACATGACAGTTCACAAAGCAGGACAGATTCGCAAGCTCATCCAGTGTCCCTGAGATGGGCGCACACACACACTGGCAGGAAGGGCACAACTCCTAGTGTGGGCAGCAGGGCAGGGTGATCAAGGGCCTGGGCTGCGGGGCTAATTGCCTGGGTTGAGATCTCAGCACTCTCTCTCACCATAGACTCCCTATCCAAAACACAGAAATAACAGTAATAGTAGCTGCTCTACAGAATTTTAAGAGAATTAAGCAAGTTCATAAATTTATATGACCCCAGGACTGTTAAACAGACTACCTTCCTGGCCATGTATATTAGTAGTTTAAAATACTTGTATCTCTTGCCTCTGTAATCCTACTCATATAACTCTAATCCTAAAAAAAAAATTGAGAAGCCGGGCTCGGTGGCTCAGCCTGTAATCCCGCGCCTTTGGGAGGCTGAGGTGAGTGGATTGCCTGAGCCCGCGGGTTTGAGACCCGCCTGGGCAGCGAGACCTCATCTCTACAATAAATCAAAAAATCAGCCGGGCGTGGTAGCGCGCGCCTGTAATTCCGGCTACTCGGAAGGCTGAGGCGGAAGGATCACTGGAGCCCAGCAGGTCGAGGCTGCGGTGGCCGGGAGCGGCCACTGCACTCCAGTCTGGGCGACAGAGTGAGACTCCAACTCAAAAAATAAATAAATAAATAAAATAAAATAAATTTTTTAAAAAGGGCAAGTGAGACTATATGACATATACTCAGTTTTGAAAATACAGATGTACTGAGTGTGGTGGCCCATGCCTGCAATCCCAGCGCTTAGGGAGGATGAGGTGAGAGGATTGCCTGGGGCCATGAGTTTGAGACCAGCCTGGGCAACCTGGCCCGAGACCTTATCTCTCTGATAAATAAAAAAATTTGCTGGAGGCCGGGCGTGGTGGCTCACGTCTGTAATCCCAGCACTTTGGGAGGCAGAGGCGAGAGGATTGCCTGCACGCATGGGTTCAAGGCCTGGGTAACTTAGTGAGACCTCGACTCTACAATAAATCAAAAAATTAGCCTGGGGGAAAAAAAAAAAATTTTGCCAAGCATAGTAGCGCACACCTGTAATCCCAGCTGCTTGGAAGGCTGAGGCAGAAGGATTGCCTAGCAGGTTGTGGCTGCAGTAGTCATGATCTTGCTATTGTACTCCAGCCTGGGTGACAGAGCGAGACTCTAACTCAAAAAAAAAAAAAAAAGAAAAAGAAGAAGAAAGAAAACACAGATGTGAAAAACACTGGAAGGAAATATGTGAAAATGTCACATATTTTCTTTTTTTTTGAAAGCGAGATTTATTGAGAAGACAGAAAAGCTCCCATAGTGGGAGGGGACCTGAAAGGGACATATTTTCACTGTGGCTGTCTATGCCTTATAGCTTATTATTTCCTACTTTGTATTTTTCTGTTTTCTACAATGGAAACACAATTCTCTGCTACAAAAAACCATTTTCAGATTTCAAGCAGCCTGGCTAAGGTCGTAGGCCTAAGGTTTGCAGGGATGGGGGGGCGTGGGCTGAGCACGGCAGCAGGCCTTGCAGACTGTGGGGGGCAGAGTCAAGGACACACTAAGGTGCCAGCAGGAAGCCCAGCCGCCTCTGGGACAGCCTCCAGCCCACTCTCACCCTCCAGCTCCTCCAGCTGCACCTCCCGGAGGCTCTCCTTGCCCAGCGCCCGGGCCACTTCTTCGCACTGGCGCCGCCGCACTGGGTACTCGCTGGAGCCCAAGGAATGGCGGACGTTGGAGTTGGTAATGAGCACAGCCAGCTTGGGGTCTGACAGCGGCACCAGGCTTGTCTCCAGTGACCTGGGGTGGAGTTGGGGTGGGGAAGATGACAAGACCAAGTTCTGCTTGCTGTGCCAGGCAGTGGGCATGCTCCACCTGGAAACTCCTGAGACAGGGTGGGAGGGGCTGAGGGGAGAACTGACCTGCAGTCAATGAGCAGCGCGTGGCCTTTCTGCCCCAGCAATGCGACAAGTTGGTCCATAATGCCACAGGGCACCCCCGCGAAGCTGTGCTCGGCTCGCTGACACACCTGGGCCCGGGCAGCTATTGCCCCCGAGTCTGCAGTACAGGGTGAGGTGGGGAGGCTAGGGCCCAGGACGGGAGACCAGGGGTGGGTGGGCAAGCAGGAGCAGCAGTAGCTCCAGTGACACTCCAAGGAGGCTCCCCCCCATACCACAGTAGAACTAGCTCTGACCCCCAGAAGACCTCATGGAAGCAAGCGGGATTGGGTCAGGGCTGGACCCTAGGTGGTACCTGGGCAGAGCTGCTGGAGGAAGGTGTACGTGGCCACTTCCAGGGACGCTGAGCTGGACAGTCCACCCCCCAAGGGCACTGAGCTGACCACCACTGCACTGAAGCCGGGAAGTGGGGCAGCTGCAGGGAAAGAAGAGGCGATGGTAAGAGGGGCTGCCTGGGCACAGGAAGGACATGTGTCCTGGTAGGGAGCTAACAGCCTAGCAGCTGCTTCTAGGACATGGGTCTCAATGTCAGAGGTCACCAAACTGCTGGGTCAAGGAGCCCACCAACCCTCCATTTTCCTACCCTCTGAGGCTGCTGGGACAGTTTTCCTAGTTGTCCTCCTGGTTTAGGGCTCTGGAAGCCAACAGGCTAGGGTCTGAATCCTGGCTCCCCCAATCATGTAATGGGAAACCCAGGGCAAGTTCCAGAACCTCTCAAGGCATCAGTTTCCTCTCTGTAAAATAGGATGCTCCAACCCTGCAAGCCTTCTCCACAGTGTATTAGATAAATTAATGGGCTCGTCGGCTGTGAGGTGCCACTCCTAGTACTCACATGAACTGGTACGGGTTTCCAGGCCTGGGCCCCATACCTGGGTAGTGCTGAATCACTCCCTTGACATAATTGGCCCATCGGGGTGTCCCAGGCTCCAGCGACCGCTGGGCTGTGGGCAGCGGAAACTGCAGCCTCTGGGGCTCATCGGCATCCTCAGAGGTGGTGAGAAGAGAAACAAGCCCATCTGCTCGGGGGCTCCCCACCAGCACAGTCACAAGCTCCAGTGCCTGGCAAGAGAGACAAGTATATAAAGTTCACGCCAAGTGATGGTATTAAGCCCCTCCGACGGCACCTACTCCAGCCAAGGTTCTGACGCCTTAACAATGGACAATGTGCCCTCCAGGTTCAACTTGAAGAGCTGAGTTGGCTCTGGGGGCTTGAGCCCTGCCCCCTGGTCTTCAGAGGCAGAACCAGCTGCAGCCAGAGCACAAATCTGGACTCTGCCCTGAGCTGTGAGGCAAGGGGGAGAGAAAACTAGCTCAAAGGGAAAACAGATCAGAGGAGTTCCAGTGTCTTCCCATTTTGGATACGCTGTACCTACTCACTTCTCAAGGTGCACAGTGGCTAAAGCTGGGAAGCCTCTCTCTAGTCGCAGGCCCACCAAGAACCAGCTGTGTGTGACCTTGAGCGGCAGATCACTAGCCCTCTACAGGTTTCAACTTCCTCCTTGTAAAAATAAATTTTTTTTTTTGAATTGATTCTCAGTCCCGGCCACCGCAGCCTCGACCTGCTGGGCTCCTGCGATCCTTCCGCCTCGGCCTCCCAAGTAGCCGGAACTACAAGTGCACGCTACCACGCCCAGCTAATTTTTGGATTTATTGCAGAGACAGGTCTCCCCATGCAGCCCAGGCTGATCTCAAACCCGCGGGCTCAGGCAATCCTCTGCCTGGGCCTCCCGAAGAGCTGGGATTATAGGCTTGAGCCACCGCGCCCGGCCCCTCCCTGTGAATTGAACAGGCTGGGCCGCAGGAGTCTACGTTAGCCCAGGTCTGCCGCTGGGTCCCCAAAGTGGCCAGAGACCAGGAGGGCCCCCTCTGTGTGGTACACAGAACCCCACAGTTTGAAGGAAACACGCTGCCGGGCTGAGGGTGAGGACCCTCGGACCTTCCCCGAGGGCAGGCTTGAGCGAAGAGTCGTCCGCGCTCGGCCTCGCGGATTCCCTGCTTCCTCCCTTCCACGTGGGAAAGGGCGCGTCCCAGGGCCTCTGGCGCGCGCCTGGCCCTAGGTCAGACTGCCGCCCCACGTTCCACGCGGAGAACACGCCCGACCGCGCCCCCGCCCTTGTCGACGGCCAGCGCAGGCGGCGGGCGAGGGGCTCCCCGCGCGGCCCCTCACCA